ATAAAGCTGTGTAGGTTGTTTATCAAAACACCAAAAGATTAACCATTTTGCTAAAACTTTAGAAACCAGCTCTATCCTTAACCAACTTCTACAAACTGTCTTATAATACTCCATCACCCAATTCCATTACCGGTCATGCCTAATATGAAATTTGCAGTTACCAGGATTAACTTACTATAGTTAGACTAGGAAAAATTAAGGCCAGGAAGACATGAACAAGAGTAGACTCATACTTACATGTCTGAGATTAGAACTGTTTCCAAAAGACATTCAAATAGCCCCTCAATAAACACTTTCCTGTCCTTCAGGCATCTCCTGCTATGATAATGTTAATTGCTAGACATGTTTAAGGACTACATCAACTTCAATTAAGATGCTCTCAAAAGAACGCTTGCCCAGTGATGGCATCTCCAACTTGAAACTGACAACAACTCCAGCTTTGGACCTCTGATCCAATGAACTACGTTTTGGACCTCTGGATCCAATGAACTACATTTCTAAGTAGTTTATGGGAACCTCTCCCTTTTTGCTAACTAGGGTTTTCTTTTCATTCCCCCAAAGATACATTAGATGGCTTGTCATTCCATGCAATCCAGATTATAAATTTTATTTGTCATTCCTAGATAATCTCAGCAAACAGTTGGTCCTTAAATAACAGGTTTGAACTGCTCAGGTATTACTGTAAATTTAGGGTTTTTTAAAAATAAAACAAGGATAAAAAACATGGCATTCCCCTGACGCAAAACTCACATATAAAAAGGGCCACCTTTTCCCTCATGCAGTTCCTACAGGTTTGAGTGGGTAAATGTTGATATATGTGAGTTGTCCTGGAACCAGTATATTGCATCTGCCAAAAGACAACTGTACTCAGAGAGATCTTTCTATAGCTTTTATCTTTTATTCCTGTTGATTGAAACAGTGAGTAGAACATCTTATATTTTCCTGTCCATTTTGAGAACATTCTACAGCCCCTCATCCCATAAGCAAATCCGGCTAATAAATGTTTTGGCCTGAAAATCATGATGTTTAGTGGTTCTTTGTTTGGAATCCTACCAGTCCCGTGGAAGAATTGTTTGGACACTCTCTTGAGGGAATTCCTCTGGGCTGTTTTGGGTTCACTCCAGTCTCGGGTGTGGCTAATGACAGCCTCCAACCTTCATCTGGAGCCCTAACCCTTTTCCTACCTGTGCAGACCCTAGGATTTATGTGTCCACACAAAGATGAAATCCTCCACCCCAATGATCTTTATGTTCACAGGCATTTGTCACAACTCAGCTTTGGACTCTGTCTTTTTCTGTGGATTCATCCTCACCAGGGGAACTTTCATTTCTCCTTTTCTGCTCATGGCTTTGATGATGTGCATACTTCAGAAATGCTATATGTAGTATTTACCAGTATTAGGAGCAGATGAAAGAGCATCGACTGTCCACCTTGATTGTGGCATCCACGACCAGGGTCCTTTCATGTCTGAACCCATATGTCTTAACCTGACATGTAAAATGTAACCATAAATGAGCTTTTTGCATAACCAGGAACCGCTGACACTTGCAACCACTCTGAAAAGTGAAGTTCATAAAAACACATTCCAAATGAGAAAACTAAGGCTAAGAGTTGGAGAGTTAATGCACAAGGTCATAAAGACAGTGCCTCATAGTCAGGAATTAAGTAAAAATCAGCTCCCTATCCAACTCCCCAAATCATAGTTCAAACATAAAGAATAATTCTAAGACTTGACCATGGACCGAGGTGCAGAGTGGTGGCCAAGAAAACAAGGGGCGCTCAGAAGGCAGGAGGGACACAGAGGTTTATTCCCTAATGGGGGGAGGTAGATGCCATTGTATTAGGCTGGTGAAAATGTAATTATGGTTTTAAAGTATGCATTTTAAACTATTATAACTAGGCTCAGACAAATTTTTATTAATCAAAATAGGAACCATGACAATCAACACATTTTGCCAATTATAAATAAGTCTGTTTATTCCCACAGCACAATACGTGCTTTGGGATTTGATGAATTCTGGGAAAGCATCTTCTGCATCCTGCAGGTTGTGGAAGTGTTTTCCTGCAAAAGGTTGTTGAGATACTTGAAGAAGTGGTAGTCGGTTGGCGAGAGGTCAGATGAATATGGCAGACGGGGCAAAACTTTGTAGCCCAATTCGTACAACTTTTGATTCATTGGTTGTGCAACGTATGGTGAGGCTTTGTCATGGAGAAGAATTGGGCCCTTCCTGTTGAACAATGCTGACTGCAGGCATTGCAGTTTTCAGTGCATCACATCAATTTTGCTGAGCATACTTCTCAAATGTAATGCCAGGATTCAGAAAGCTTTTGTGAATCAGACCAACAGCAGACCACCAAACAGTGACCACCAGGACTTTCTTTTTGCTGCAAGTTTCACTTTGGAAAGGGCTTTGGAGCTTCTTCTCTGACCAAACACTGATATGCTCATTGCTCAAAAATGTATAAAATTAACTTTTCATCACACGTCAACCTCAGAATGATTCGGTTTGTTGTTGTTGCATAGAATAAGAGAAGATTACACTTCAAAATGACATTAAAATTTTTTGGTCAGCTCATGAGGCACCCCTTATCAAGCTTTTTCACCTATTCAGTTTGTTTCAAGTGCCAAATGACCATAGAATGGTTGACACTGAGTTATTTGGCCACTTCTTGTGTAGTTGCAAGAGGATCAGCTTCAGTGATTGCTTTCATTTGGTCGCTATAAACTTTGTATGACTGGCCATTACATTCCTCATTTTCAAGGCTCTTGTCTCCTTTGCAAAACTTCTTGAACCACCACCGCACTGTATGTTCATTAGCAGTTCCTGGGCCAAATGGATTGTTGATGTTGCAGTTGTCTCTGTTGCTTTACAACTCATTTTGAACTCAAGTAAGAAAATTGCTCAAATTTGCTTTTTTCTAACATTATTTCCATAGTTTAAGATAAATATTTTAAAAAGCAAGTAAAAAGTCGTTAGCAAAAAAAGCAAGAATAGTGCATTAGAAGCATATATTACAATCACATTTATTAAGAATGTATTCAAATATTGAATGGCAAATTTTAACTTTTAAAAACCACAATTATGGTTGCGCCAACCTACTATATATATACAAAGAAAGGTTTAAGAAATGAACTTTTCCTCAGAATTGTTTTGATTATTTTCGGTCATTTATAATTTCACATGGATTTCTATATTGTTGCTTTCAGATCTGAGAAGAATGCTGCTGGTATTGCATTAAATCTGTAGATTGCCTTGGGTAGGGTAGACATCTTAACAATGCTGATTCTTCCAATCCATATACATGGAATTTTTTTCCATTTGTTTTGTCATCTTTGACTTCTTTGAGCAGTGTTTTGTACTATTCATTGTAAAAGTTTTTCACTTCTCTGGTTAGAAAGATGTTGAGGTATTTCATTTCTTTTTGTGGCTGTTGTGAATGAGATTTTGCTTTTTTAGTTGTTTCTCTGTTTGTTGTTGGGGTATAAGAATATGACTGTTGGTTGTATTCTTGATTTGGTATCCTGAGACTTTGTCAAAGTCCTTTATCAGTGCAAGAAAGTTTTTGACAGATTCCCTTGGATTTATATTGCCACACTATTCACAGTAGTGCAATCCTGGAACCAACCGGGCTGCCCATTGAAATTAGACTGGATGAAAACAATGTGGTACATATACACGATGGAATATTACACAGTCATAAAAAGGAAAAAATTATGAACTTGGCAGCAAATTGTATGGATTTAGAATATGTAATACTAAGTGATCTATCACAGAAATAAAGACCTGTGCACTCCATGTTCTTAATCATAAGTGGACCCTGAGCAATTGTACTAATACTACAAGAAAGTGATTGGTAGTAGCGTAAAACTGCCAAGGGAGGGCACACTTCATCAATAAGTGTACCTGATCTCAACCTAGGTGAAGTGGGGACCCAAGTGAAGCTCAAAGTTTACCTGTACAATGATCATTTGTATACCTGACCCTGAATTGTACCCTACATTTTTAAAATAACAGAAAGAAAGGAACTGTTAGGTAAAAAAAAACAACAGCAACAACAACAACAACAACAAAAAACTCTCAAGGCAAAAAGAGAGGTCATTTTCTCTTATTGCTTGTATTTCTCCTTTGTCCTCTTTGTCACATGGAGATCTACTTGAACTATGGGGCTTTCAATAAAAGTCAATCTCTACTCCACCTACAGGTCAGAGTTCACAAGTCCTTGATTATGGATTGAAGTTGAGGAATGACCAAGAAAACAATGGACCCTAAGGAGGCAGGAATAAAACAGAGTTTGTTCTCAAAGAGTGGGGGAATTCATGCCACTGGGAACAGAAGGAATAAATAAAAATAAAGAAGTGAGAGAAGGGAACTATTTGTAAGATAACTCATCCTCCAAAAGCAAGAAAAGAGACAGCATTTCTTTTCTTATTTCTCTTGTCTGCTCACTTCCACAAGCTCAACTTGAACAGCACAGTCAGATTTTAGATGTCTCTGCTGACCTGAGTCTGCCATGTAACATGAACTTGTACCTTACCCGAAGCATCTTCAGGGCTGACAAAATGACCCCATAAAGGTGAGTTGATGGATGAGCTGAGAAGTGAAAGAGGCCCCACGGGAGGATCTGAGAGGGAAGAAGGAGACCCCGGTCAACTTCACCCAGAACTGGCCAATTCAGGAAGGCATTGTGTCTATTTGCTGTTATGTCCTGGCCCTTGGTGACATAAAGATAAGTCAGACAGACATTTGCCAGAGGTCAGGGTAGAGGGCATTTTTGTGTGAAATGTCCCCAGAGAGCCTGGTGCTCACTATAGGACCAATGTTGTGGAAATGAGAACCAGCTTTCTAGGGAAAGAAGTTGCCCTTTCTGTGAGTCTGTTGATGTGGCAATTCTGTTACAACAACTCAGCCCCAAGTGGCCAAATTATCAGTGTCTGTCTTTCCTGTCAAGCATAGTGATCTCATACTTCTGCACAGCAAGAACCAGGAAGAGGAGAAGCCATGATCCTGACCCTCACAGCCCTGCTTTGTCTTGGTGAGATTTGAACAGGGGGTGGGAAGACCCTAGTCGGAGCTGAACCCCACCCCACAACCAGGCCCTGGGCCCCAGATGCTCAGGAGGCTTCTTGGAAGCAAAGGGTCGGCTCAAGCTTCAGAGGGCTAATCTCTCACAGGGAACTCTCTTCCAGGGTTGAGTCTGGGCCCCAGGACCCAAGTTCAGGCAGGTGAGTCTGTCCCCAACCGTCCCAGGTCCCTCCTCCTTGTTGGGAACAAGAGGCTACACCTGGGTAGTAGGATAAGAACAGCAGCTCTGGGCTGATCGATGGGGATATCTAGATTGTCCTGGGGCTGAGAGCGGGGATCTTAGGGATGGGAATGTCAGAGTTCCCAGGCTCTGATTTTCTTTCAGGGACCATCCCCAAGCCCACCTTCTGGGCAGAGCCAGGGTCTGTGATCTCCTGGGGAGATCCTGTGACCATGTGGTGTCAGGGGAGCCTGGAGACCCAGAAATACTGTCTGAATAAAGAGGGAAGTTCACTGCCCAGAGAAATACAGAGCACACAAGAACCTGGGAACAAGGGCAAGTTCTACATCTCATACATGACAGATAAATATGCAGGAAGATATCACTGTTACTATGGCAGCTCTGGTAGCAAGTCAGACCTGAGTGACACTCTGGAGCTGGTGGTTACAGGTAAGAGGACACTCAAGGATCCCAGCCCCAGGCTGTGTCCTCACGAAGTGGGTCTGCTCTTGGGAATGTTTCACGCCCACACAACCCAGCCCTGGGGAATCATGAGGTAATTGTGAGCCCCATTTCACACTGTGTCCCCCTCTCTCCTAGGAGCCTACAGAAAACCCACTATCTCAGCTCTGCCCAGCCCTGTCATAACCTCAGGAGGGAACGTGACACTCCTGTGTCGCACTTCAGGGGTATTTGGAAAGTTCATTCTCATTGAGGAAGGAGAATACACTCACGCCAGGACCCTGGACTCACAGAGGCATCCAACTGGGCAGTTCCAGGCGCTGTTCCCTGTGGGCCCCATGACCCCCAGCCACAGGTGGACATTCAGATGCTATGGCTATTACAGAAACACACCCCAGGTGTGGTCAGAACCAAGTGACCCCCTGAACATTCTGATCATAGGTGAGAAGGCTAGTGGGTTCAGTTAGGAACCCAGACTCTGCACAGGCCCTGCCCTGGGAGCCCCAGATGGTGGTGGTTGCAATGGGGGCAAAGGCTCAAGAAAGGAAGAGAGACAGGGAGAGTTTGGGATGAGGGAGGGGGCAGAGATTCATAGACAACAGAGACTGATAGAGAGACTGAGGGTCCCCAGATAGAGGCCCTAGGGAGGTCTCAGAATAGGGTGGGGCCACTTCTCTCTGGGAAAGCTCCTTAGGATACCCTTCCTCTCAGTGCAGCCAGGGCCTATGGTGGCCTTAGGAGAGTATGTGGCCCTGCTGTGTCAGTCACAGAACCCAGTGGACACTTTTCTTCTGTCCAAGGAAGGGAAAGCTGCCCCCCCAACCACGTTTAAGATCAAAGTACCAGTACTGAGTTCAAATCTTCCAAGGCGTGCTTTCCATGAGTCCTGTGAACTCATTCCATGGGAGAATCTACAGGTGCTATGGCTCAAATAGCACCTCCTTCTACCTGTTTTCAAACTCCAGTTCTCCCCTGGAGCTGGTGGTCTCAGATGAGCACCTCTAACTGACCCTGTCCTTCCTGAGCTCAAAGTATTAGCTCAGAGTCCTGACCACAGAAGTGCTCTGGGTTGGGGTAGAGGGAGGGGGGCTCCAAGGGACAGTCAGTCAGAAGGGTATTCATCTATGGAGGACAGGGTGCCAACATGGTCCTTCTCAGGCATGTCCATCCCTTCTTCTCTCCTGGGGTCCAGAACATACCAGGTGAGTGACTGGGTACTCCTGGGGAGATCAGAGGACAGATGTAGAGATTGAGCAGACATGGTGTCTCTAGGGCAATGTTCAGATACTTATCTCCTTTTCTTTGTTCTAGATCCCCCAGGTGACCACAGCTCCCTACTCACAGGGCTCATCTCTACAGCTGGTGAGTCTCAGGAACTCTGACTAGAGAGTTTCCAATTTCCCCAGGCCTGTCTCTAGAGACCCTCAGCTGGTCTAACACTTAGATCCAAATTTAAACTCAGCTGGTGTTCAGGGAACTGGAAACTGATCAGAGACATGTCTGAGGACCACAGGCTCCCGGGGGCTCTGAGGCTTGGCTGGCGAGAGTTGGGGGCTCAAAGCAGAGTGGGATTTTGGGGCACAACCTGGGAGACGAGCAGTCGTGTTGAAGTAGGGAGAAGGACAGCTCCCGAACTCCCTGTCTTAACCCAGGAGGCCCTGAGGATCAGACCTTCATCCTCACAGAGTCAGGTTCCCAGAAAGGTGAGTGAGGGGCTTGGTGTGAGGGTGGGAGACGGTCCAAGGGAGGAAGGGGGTAAATTATGTCACAGGCTTAGGCTTCTCTGGAGATGGTGATTTGAAGAAACCCCTCCCTGTCTGGGCTTCAGTTTCTCCATGTATAAAGGAGAGAGACCCGCCCATAAAGAAAATCCCCTTTTTTTCTGACCCTGGCTGTGACATCCTGGGAAAGGAACCCTCCAGGGAAGATTCCCAGGACCCATTGCTGCAGGTGCCTGTCCCACCTGCATTGGTGATGGTGACATTGTGCAGGGGAGGCGAGAAGTGCCTTGGGACAGGGTTTTCACTTAGGGGCTCAGCATTTATTTCCCAGCTTTGCTGTTTCTTGACAGGGGGACCTCTAGAATTTCTGTTTTCTTCTGTAAAATGGGTGGGGCGAGTGTGGTGATACCATGTTATAGCATTGCTCTCAGGGTGGAAGGTGATGCATGAAAGACACAGCATGTGCTTGTGCAGAGTCGGAGCTCAATTAAATGATGTAATTCCTGGCGTCTCTGGTGCCATAGGTTTGGAAAGGTACATGGAGATTCTGATCGGAGTCTCAGTGGCCATGGTTCTGCTTCTCTTCCTTTTCCTCTTCTTCTTCCTCCGACACCATCATCAGCGCAAACATAAGACATCAGGTGAGTAGGGAATAGAGGGACCCATGTGCTGACTGAGGGTGGGCTGAGGACACCACCAAATGGGAAACAGGCAGATGGGAAATTTCAGCTAGGAAATCAGCTCTAGATTTTCTAATCAGAAAAATCTAGAAGAAAAGCACTTAATGTCAGCACACATGTACATATTTAGAGTATTCTTTGAGCTTTCCCAAACTCCTGAAATATTAGGAATGTCTCTGCAGGAGTGTTTCTTGTGGGAGGAGCTGGGGCGCAGGGGAGATGTTCCGAACCTCACACCTTGGAACCTTGGGGACATCACAGCTGCTCCTGGTGACTCAGTGGCTCCATTTGGACCAGGGCAGGACCTGGGGAACTGAGAGGTCCCAGGAAGTCTTCCCAGGATATAAGCCCATTGTCCTGCCCCTGCAGATGCTGCCCTGAAGGAAACACAGCCTGAGGATTGGGTGGAGCTGGAGAGTCGGGTGAGACCCTGCCCCTTCCAGGCATCACTAGGCTTCCTGTTGTAGATTTATACCGGGGATACTTCTTTGTTCTCCCCACACCACTCTCAGCGTCATCTCCCAGTGGATTCTTCCTCCTAGAGCACTGCCTTCTGTCTGCTGGACTCACTTTCTCCTGGTTTCCTGGCACCTTGTAAGCTCCTTTTTTCTGTCCCCTTTCTGGCTCCTCATCCTCTGACTCTCTGGTTATTAGAGTGCCCCCAGGCCTCAGAAGGACGCAGTAATGAATGAGCCACCTACATCTCCTGGGTTCTCCTTATTCATTCATCCAACAAATATCCACAGAGAACTCACTGTTTTTTTCCTTTACTGGGCTAAACTTCTCCTTTTAAATTATCATGCTTGATTTTGTGTTCGGGGGTACAAGTGCATGTTGTTGCATGGGCATATTGTGCTGTGGTGAGGATTGAGTTCAGGTGATCCTTTCCCCAGTTAGTGAACACTGTCTCTAACAGCAGATTTATGAGCCCCCATGTGCCCTTCCTGTCTTTTTCTTTTTAGTGTCACAAGTGTCTGCTATTTTCATCTTTGTGACTATTTTGCTCACCCATATACATGAGAACATGGGAAGTTTGGTTTTCTGTTTCTGATTTTGTTCACTTGGGACGATGTTCTCCAGCTCCAAGCATGTTGCTGCTAAGAACATGATTTTTCTTTCCTTTTCTTTTCATGGTTGTGTAGTATTCCATGATGTATATTTACCACATTTTCTTTATCCAGTCAATTGGTGACTAGATCTCCTCTGTGATGGGTGCTCCAGTGATTACCCCTCTTTTGTGATGGGTGTCCCAGTGAATGGCCGTCTTTTGTGATCAGTGATCCAGTGATTGGTCCTTCTAATGGGTGCCCCAGTGACAGGGCCTTTTTTGTGATGGGTGCCTCAGTGACTGGCCTGCCTATATGATAGGTGTCTCAGTCACTGAGTCTTCTAGTGAGGTATGCACAGGTGACTAACCCTTCTCTAGGATGAGTATCATAGTATCAATTGGTGATGGACCTTAGTCTAGTCCCATGACTATGCTGTTGTGAATAATGTTTCAATGAACACATGAGTACAGGTATCTTTTTATATAATTATTTATATTCCTTTGGGGAGATACCTAATAGTGGGATTGCTGGGTTGAGTGATAGTTCAATTTTTAGTTCTTTGAGAGATCTCCATACTGCATTCCACAGAGGTTGAACCAGCTTATAACCATACCAACCATATGATTGCTCTCTTTTCATTTCATAGATGTTGCATCTTTACCAATATCTGCTGTTATTTGGCTTTTAGTGAATAATAGCAATTCCTACTGGTGTAAGATGATGTCCCATTTTGGTTTTAGTTTGCATTTCTCTGATTAGTTGTGATGTTGAACATTTTTTCTTCATAAATTTGTTGGCTGCTTGTGTGTCTTCTTTTGAGAAGTATCTGTTGTTGCCAATGCCCATTTTTTGAAGAAGTGGTTTGGGATTTTTTTTTCATGTTGAGTTGCTTGAGTTCCTTGTACATTCTGGATATTAGCCCTTTGTTGAGGCAGAATTTGCACTTTTTTTCCCTTCCATATATGTTCTCTTCACACTGTTGACTATTTATTTTGCTGTGCAGAAGATTTTTTAGTTTAATTAAGTCCCATTTGTCAAATTTTGTTGTGTTTGTTTTGAGTCTTCTTTATAAATTTTTTCCTTACTCCTATATCCAAAATAGTTTTTCCTTGGTTTTCTTGCAAGATTTTAATAATTTCATATATTATGTTTAAGTATTTAATTAATTTGTACTGTTTTTGTATATAGTGAGAATTAGTGGTTCAGTTTCAATTTTCCCTGTAGGGATAGCAAATTTTTCCAGCACCATTTATTTAATAAGGTTTTCTTTTCTTTATTATTTTTTTGTTTGCTTTGTGGAAGAATAGTTGGTTATAGGTATGTGACTTTATTTCTGGGTTCTCTATTCTGTTCCATTGTTCTATCTGTCTATGTTTGTACCAGTACTATGCTGTTTATTTACTCTAGCCTTGTGGTATAATTTGAAGTCAGACACTGTGATGCTTTCCTAATTGTTCTTTTATCTTAAGATTACTTTGTTGAAGCTCTCTCTTGGTTCCATATAAGCTTCATTGTTGCTTTTTTCTAGTTCAGTGAAAAATTATGTTGATATTTTGATAGGGATCGTGTTGAATTTGTATATTGCTTTAGGCAATATGGTCATTTTAGCTATATTGATTTTTTTGAATCCATGAGTATGGAGTGCTTTTCTATTATGTTGTGTTGTCTATAATTTTTTCATCAATGTCTGAAGTTTTCCATGTAGAGTTCTTTTATCTGTTTGGCTAGATGTATTCCCAGGGTTGTGTGTGTGTGTGTGTGTGTGTGTGTGTGTGAATGTGTGTGTGTGTGTGTGTGTGTGTGTGTATTTTAAATGTGATTAAGCTCTTAATTTGTTTCTCAACTTCAGCATCAATGGTATGTATGTGTGCTGTTTTTGTATTTTAATTTTGCAACCTGAAGTTTTACTGAAGTTGTTTATCAGATCTAGAAATCTCTTGGAGAAGTCTTTAGGGTTTTCTGTGTACATAATTATGCCATTAGTGAACAGAGATCATTTGACGTTTTCTTTACTGATGTGAATGTTTTTTATTTTGTTTTCTTGCCTGCTTGCTCTTGCTAGCACTTAGCAGTACAATGTTGAATTGGAGAGGTATAATCTGATTTAAAATGTTAAAGAATCAGTCTTGCAGCAGTGTGAAAAATTGACCACAGGGGATTAAGTAAAATCAAAGAGACACTCCTGGCACTGTCTCTCTCCTCTAGAGTCCACATGATGAAGATCCCCAGGGAGTGATGTGTCCCCAGGTGAACCTCTCCAGACTCAGGCGGGGAGTGACCTCTCCCTCTTCAGTCCTGTCAGGAGAATTCTTGCACATAAAAGACAGACAAGCAGAAGAGGACAGACGGAGGGACAGTCAGGTGGGTCCTACCCTCTTCACGTTCCCAGACTTCGCCCCTCCCCAACCATGTACACCTCTTCTCACTCTCCACCCCCCACTGCAGACTGCTGTATCTGAAGACCCCCATGAGGTGACCTATGCCCAGCTGCACAGCTTGACTCTCAGACAGAGGACAACTGAACCATCTTTGTCCCAGGAAGGTGATTCTACAGCTGAACCCAGTGTGTATGCAACTCTGGCCATCTACTAGCCCAGGAGGACTGAGAATCTACCCTCCATGGAGGGAGACTCGGGGACTCTGAAAGACTCAGGAGCTGCCCCTTGTAGACAATAGCTATGAACTCAGTCAAGCAGTACCAATCACAAAGAACAGCAGGAGATCTGGGAACTTAGGGAGTCACCTTATTCTTCTGTCAAACATAACTAATATCAATATACAGATTTTGGTCATAAAGCAACAGGTTTTCCAATAATCAGCGAGTTAAATGAAAAAAATCAATGAAAAAGTGAGAGCATTTTAAAAGTTGATTGTTAATGGAAATATGGCATATTAAACTATGAAACTGAAAAACTAAAACCATGACTTAATGTTATATAAGAAAAAAATCAGGGAAAGAATGACCTCAACTACCATGTAAATAATTTATAAAAATAATGACAAACTATTACTAATGAAGGTGTAATGAAAAAAAAAGTGGAGTTAATAATGAGAAAAAATTAGAAATTGAAAATTCAATGAACCAAAAATGTTCATTTTTGAAAACTTTTGTAAATTGCATTTGTAAATCTTAACAACGAGTAGGAATAAAAGAGAGCAGGAACACATTTCCAAAGGAGAATGAAAAACAAGACAGCCCTACAGTTGCTGCACACACTTTCAAAAGCTAATATCAGAATATTGTGCACATCTGTGCCAATGTATTAGAAATGCAGATTAAATGGACAACATTTCAAAATTATATTTTATTTAATGGACAAAATAAAGAGAAAATATGAATTTTTACTTTTATATTTTATATATAATTTCATATATATTTCACAGTATATATACAGTATATATACTTTTATACAGTATATATACTTTTATATTTTACAATATATATACTTTTGTGCAGTATATAATGTGAATATATATAGTATATATATATATTTATACAGTATATATGCCTATATTTTTACAGTATATATACAGTATAGATATATACTTTTATGTAGTGTATACACACACACACATATATATATATACACACACACTGTAAAAAATTTTCTTAGTGTAAGCTCTATTTCAGGAAACTTCATTGGTGATTGCTTGCAAATAACCACATATAGACTACACATGCTCCCAAAGTACCATGAATGTCTCCTGATAATAGAAAAAGAGGAAATAAGTGCAAACACATTTTATCAGACTTGGAAATAAATCAATACCTAATCTTGACAAGGAACCTACAAAATAAGAAAATCATAGAAGATCTGTCACATGAACTTCAATATAACAGATTTTCACAAATAAGATTTAATGGCATATCAAACTAAAATACATCAAATTTACAATGATTATTGTTGTGATTATTATTATTATTATCGTTAGTTTTTATTATTATTAGAGTCAGGCCACTCTGTCACTCAGGCTGGAGTGTAGTGAAATGATCACACATTATTGCTTCCTTGATCTCCTTGTCTTGGGTGATCCTCAGTCTCCCAGGTAACTTGGAACACAAGCACACACCACAATGCCCAGATTCATTTTTTGAATTTTTTTTTGCTATATTGCCTAAGCTGGTCTCAGATTCCTGGACTCAAGAAATCCTCCAGCCTCAACCTCCCAAAGTGATAAGATTATAGGTGTGAGCCACTATGCCCAGTCATGATTTTTTTTTAGTTTTTAAAGAAGGGTAACAAAAAATTCAAATTAAAAAGTATCCTCTCAAAAGATGCAGACAACACTTGTGATCAAATACACAAGTGTTCATAATAAAAATAAAAGCTCATCAGCAATAAAAGATAAAATATTATAACTTAAAAGACATTAAAAATGTGCAGTAACTTTTTCAAATAATATTTTTGAAATTTATTTTTGTATATTCCTTTAATTCATTTTATTTGGCAAATAAAAAAATATATTTTTGGCTGTAAATCGTGAAGTCTTTATATAGTGTACCTCACAGAATGTCTAGATAAGGTAACGTATCTGTAAACTCAGCTTGCTGTGTGTGTGTGTGTGTGTGTGTGTGTGTATGTTTGTGTGTGTGAAAGGAACATTTAAAATCTCTCTTACCGTGTTCATGCATACATTATTATTTACTGTATTCCCATTGTTGTACAAAAGATCTACCAAGCTTACTTCTCTTTAACTGAAATTTTGTATTGTCTGACCAACATTGCTCCAATTCTACCCAAACCCCATGCCAACTTCTGGTAGCCATGATGCTACTTTCTACTTCCATGAGTTGGACTGTTTTACATTCCACATAGAGGTGGGATCAGATGATGTCTCTTCCTCACTGCCTTTCTTATTTTACTTAGCATTATGTCCTATAAGTTCATTCTTGTTGTCACAAATGAATTTCTGCCTTCCAGAAGGTTCAAGAGAATCCTGTGTGTACATGCTCCATACTACATTCTCTTTATTTATAACTATGTGTTCATTGGTGGAGGCACTGTGTAACGCTTTAATGAATAAGAGAGTGCAGATATCATTTCCACATGCTGATTTAAGTTCCTTTGGATGTAGAACCAGAAATGAAACTGTGGAAACACATGGTAGTTGTAAGAGTTAATTGAGAGGAACTTCCATGCTTTCTTTGGTAACCACTGTGCTGATGTATAATTCCACTAACAGTGTGCAAGGGGTGTACTTATTCCACCTCCTCGCCAACACTTGTCACTTTACTCTTTTTTTCCCAAATAATAGTATCTTAACAGGTGTTAGAGATCATACCTTATTAAAGTTTAATTCTTTTTCTGATGAATGATATTAATCACTTTTTTCATTCACGTTAGTCATCTGTATGGATACTCTTGAAAAATGTTTATGATATTTGCTGATTTTCAAAATTTAATTTTTAACTGGCAAATAAAACATCAGTATTTATTGTGTAAAACATGATTTTTTGAATACATTTATATTATGGAATGAGTTAATCTGGCATCTTCATATAGTTATAATTTTTGTGGTAAGAATATTTTACTTTCTCTCCGTGGCATTTATAAAATTATAATATATTGTTAGCTATCATCTCCATGTTGGACAAAACATATGCCACACTTATTCCTCCTATGTAATGGAAGTCTTGTGTTTTTTGATCAACATCTTCCTAACTCTTCCACTAAAACATCCCAGCTTCTGGTATATAAAGGTATACATTTAGAATTCATATATGAGTAAGAACATATGATATTTTTCATTCTGTGCCTGGCTTATTAACATAATGTCCTTCGGGTCTATTTATGTTGTTGCAAATGACAGGATTTCCTTCTTTTAGTGGCTTAATAGCATTCCATTGTGTGTGCGTGAGCACACACACATTTATATTTATATGACATTTTCTTTATCCACTAATCCATTGAAGAACTTGAATGCTGATTCCAAATCTTGGCTACTGTGAGCAGTGCTACAGTAAACGTGTGAGTGAAGAAAACCACTGACACCCTGGTTTCATTTCCTTCCAACACAGACCTAGTAGTGGAAATGCTCGATTGTATGGTTGTTCTGTTTTCATTTTGGGGGGGAACCGCCATACATTTCCATAGTGACTATACTCATTTACATTTCCAGTCACAGTGTGTGAGGATTCCCTTTTCTCCACATCCTGGTGAACTATTTTTGCTCAGTATTGCTTTGCCAATTCGAGGTCTTTTTTGTTTTCATGCAAATTTCAGCATGTTTTATCTACTCTGTGAAGAATGTCATGGGTAGTTTTATAAAGATTGTGTAAACTGTGTAGATCCCTCTGGATAATACGGACTTTTTTTTGAGTTGGAATCTCACTATGTCGCCCAGACTGGAATGCAGTGGCCACTCCCGGTCACTGCAGCCTCGACCTGCTGGGTTTCAGTGATCCTTCCACCTCAGCCTTCCAGTAGCTGGAACTACAGGCACGCGCTACCATGCCTGGCTAATTATTGATTTATTGTAGAGATGAGGTCTCGCCAAGTTGCTCAGGTGGGTCTTGAACCCGCAGGCTCAGGCAATCCACTCACGTCAGCCTCCCAAAGCACAGGATTACAGGCTGAGCCACCAAGTCCAGCTAGACATTTTAATGACATCAATTCTTCCAATTCTTAAGCAAGAATATGTTTATATTCATTTTTTATTCGCTTTAATTTATTTCATCAATGTTTTAGAGATTTTAGAATATAGATCTTTCACTTCCATGGTTAGATTAATTCCTAAGATTTTTCATAGCTATTGTAAGTGGGATTGTTTTCTTGAGTTATTTTTCAGATAGTCATTGTCAGTGTATAGAAATACTATGGATTCCTGTACATTGATTTTGTATTTAACAAATTTACTGAATCCATATACTTTTTTATTTCAAATTTTTATTTTAAGTATATGGGGTACAATTCAGGGGTAAGTATACAAATGTTCATTATGCAGGTATCATTTTTGATGAGGTCTGCCCTCCCTCCCCCGGCAGTTTCCCCTACTGCCAATCCATTTCTGATAGTATTTTGATAACTGTTCAAGGTCCACTTATGAGTGAGAATATGTGATTCTTATATCTTTGTTTATGTGAGAGATCATTCAGTATTATAGCCTCTAATTCCACCCAAGTTGCTGAAAATTTCATAATTTTATCCTTCTTTATGACTGAATAATATCCCATTGTGTATATGCACCTTTAAAAAAAATCCAGTTCTCTTTTGATGGACAGCACAGTTCGTTCCATGTTTTTGCTACTGGAAATAATGCTGCATTAAACATGAGTGTGCATGTATATTTTTCATAGAGTGATTTGAGTTCTTCCAGGTGTATTCCCAGGACTGAGATTGTGGGGTCATATGGAAAGTTGATTTTAAGATCTTTTAGGAATTATGCTTTCATGAGCCTGTCAAGCTCCATTAAAATTTCATTCAGTTTTAGCCCTTGCATTTCTTGATTTTTATTCATTCTATTCAATGATTATCTTATTTCCACAAGTACCTTCTGGATATTGTCATGCTATGAGATAGCCATTGTTTGTGCCCCAGTAGCTGTGCTTTCTATCATTAACTCTTTCCTGGAACTCTGATGGTTACTCTCAG